TGGGGTGGCCCGTTCCGAGTTACAGAAGACTTGGAAAATGGAGCGTATAGGCTGGAAGAACTCAACGGGAAGCCCATACCGCGGACTTGGAATGCTACGCATCTCAAGTTCTACTTCAGCTGAATTTTGTATGAATGAGCTGTGCACTCTTTTCCCACCTCAGTCTTTTATCCCAAAAAATAGATAAATGGGTTTTGGCTGAGAGGGTTTTTAACGAGGCACATATTTCCATCAATAAGATAACCCATTCCTTTTTATTAACACTCTTTTACCTTCACCGTTTTACTACAAAATGCCTTACGTTTAACACACTTATCCGAGGTTGAAACCGAACCTTGATAAAACACATATTACTCTAAATCTGAGGTCGAGTACGAACCACTTATCCGAGGTCGAATTCGAACCTTGATGAAGCACATATTACTCTAAATTCGGGGTCGAAAACGAACCTTCGAATCGAACGTCCAAGGTCGAGTCCGAACCTCGACACAATCCATTCTACACCGACTTAGGGTCGAATACGAACCCCAACACGCTTTACACAAATTCGAGGTCGAGAACGAACCTTAGAAACGCCCATCCGAAGTCGAGTCCGAATTTGGCATGATTCATTTTACTCTGGTGTAGGGTCCAATACGAACCCTAACACGCTCTACACAAATTCGAGGTTGAGTGCGAACCCTAAAACGTTAATCCGAGGTCAAGTTCGAACCTCAGTATGATTAAGGTCGAGCCCGAACCTTCGCAACGTATCACTCAACAAAAGTACAAGGCCAAATCCGAGCTCGAGATACAACTCAACTCACTTTAATTCGAGGTCGAATCCGAACCTTAAGTCAGATTCGAACCCCCCAAAAAGATTCATTTATGAAAAACCGAGGTCGAGGCCTAACCCCGGCATGACCACCTCGGACCCATAAAAACACACAACAGACACCAAGCGTGTCTCAAAACGTGCAAAACAGTAAAAACCAAGCGCAAATAAACAAAGAAAAATACGTATATACAAAGCTATGCTTACCAAGTTCAATACATGAATTCAAAGGGAAGTAAAAAGAAAACAGGAAAACTAAACTATTACAAAAAATGGCCTACACAGAGGCATTCTCGCCGAAGAGGTGGCGTTGACTGTTGAGCATGTCGCTCATCCCAGCGAGGTGTTGGCCCAAGCTGCTGAGCGAGTTGTCTAGGCCGTCGTGGTGAGTACTTTTCCTTTCTTAGTCTTGTTTCTATCTTCTACCTTTTATGTTGTTTTTCTACGTTTTGACTTGAAGTTGTTTTCTATAGGTAGGGGATGTTGCCGAGGAAGTGGTCCTTGCTACCGGGCGGGCTACCCCTGTTGCTAAGGAGGTGATCCGGGCTGTTGTACCTGCTATCCCGGTTGGCAAGGTAAGCGGTTGGCCCTTCTGTGGCATTGACATTTTACCCCTCTGTTTACTTTTTGTCTTAGAAGAGTATCGTTGTTTCTTGCAGGCAGGGAACGTCGCCGGGGTTTCAGATCCTCCGATCTCAGGGGCGCCAGAAGGGAATCCTTCCGTGGTCGAGCAGGGGGTACTTGCGTCTACTTCTGTCGAGGCCCGTAAGGAGGGGTCGAGCTCCGGGATCCCTGGACCTGCTATAGTGCTGAAGCCGAAGCGGCCGTATCTTGCGTACCGCTATGCGCAAGAGGGCGCGCCCATGCGGTTAGAGCATTTGAGTGCGTCGGAAGAGGTCGACACTCTGTGGAGCGCCGCGGTGACTCCGGAGAAGTTTTTCCCAAAGGGGTCGCTGAGCACGGCTGATCAGGCGATGATCGAGTCGGCCGGGCTGATGGGGAGTTTCGAGGCCGCCCAGATCTTCTTGCAGAGAGGCACGACCATTGTGGATTACTGGAAACACAAGTGGTCGAGGCATCAGGAGATTCTCCAGGTTTGAGTTGATTCACCACTCCATGAATCTAACAACATTGGTTCATACTCCTTCTTCTATGTCCACAGATGAGGATCAGCTTTTGCAACAGTGTGATTCTGTTTTGGCAGCCTTTAAGTTGAACTTGGCGCATGCTCAAAATCGTATGAAATAGCTTGCTGACCATAAGCGTGTTAATGTGGAGTTTCAAGTTGGTGATATGGTGTTCGTGAAACTCCAACCTTACAGACAAGTGACATTACGTGCTCATCGTCATCAAAAGCTAGGTTTACGTTATTTTGGACCGTTTCCAATTGTGGAACGTGTGGGTAAGGTTGCCTATAGGTTGTTCCTTCCTCCCTCTGCTCGGATTCATGATGTTTTTCATGTTTCCATTTTGAAGAAGTGTATAGGTGAACCAAATCAACAATATTTTCCCCTCCCTTTGACAATTGCAGAAGATGAATCGCTGCCAATTCCAGTTCAGGTTTTAGATTTTCATCGGATTCTCCAACAAGGAAATTGGGTTGCTCAAGTTTTGGTACAATGGTCCAATTTTCCAACACAAGACAGTACTTGGGAGTTTATTGTTGATATGTAGGCACGTTTTCCAGACTTTGACCTTGGGGACAAGGTCAATTTTAAAGGGGGGAGCATTGATACAAGAGCAAAAGGTGGGAATTAGAAGGCAGGACACGTGGCTAGTGGTCCCAACACCAAGCTAACAGAATTGGAGGAAAGAAGGCACAGTATGCGTGCAAGGAGACCAACGTGGAAGTTGAGAGAATAAAAATAAGGAATGAGGTCTGAGTAGTGGAGCGTAGTGAATTTTGGAATATCTCTCTCTTTCCTTTTCTCGATTTCCTCTCTTACCTGTGGCCAACTTTATGTTTTGAGTTGAAAATCTTTCTACGTTTCTTTATTGTTTTCTATGCTAAGACTACAATACTTGTCATTGTCAAATTTCTATTCAAAACAAAAGAGGGATTACTCTATTGCTCAACATATTACTAGAATCACATCTGGGTCACAAGTATTATTTCTACCATCCTCTTCAGGCTTTACAGCAAATGAGGGTGTTGAGTGTGTTTGCAACTCTCACAGAGAGGATAAGATAGTTTCTATACTCACTAAGGTGCGTAACCTTAGTTTTTACAGGAGTAAGTGTCTAAGTGTTTGTTTACTCTCGTAGAGAGGATAGACTATTAGTAACACTCACTAAGATAAGCTATCTTAGTTTTTACACAGACATACAAGAAATGCTTTAAGAAGAAATGTAGCTTATGCTCTTTAGCTTTTTCTTATTGCACGTTTTCTCTACTTTTCTATTCTCTACTTCTTCTTCTTCTTTGCCTTGATACTTATAGCCTGTTGATAAATCTGCCTGTTGTTTAAATTCAAATTTTCCTGTTGGAGCGGGGTTTCATGTTGTTGCAGATGGAGGCTTGTTCATGGCTATGTAAATCTTTTCAATTAATGAATTTTATCTTGCATTAAATGTTTTCTTGTATACGTGAAGTCCTTTTGTGTAGTTGATTGTTTCAATGTCTGACTTCAATCATGATATAGGCATGTTTGTACTTTTCTCATCAGTTTAGCTGTTGAGGTGCTGTCTTTTTCTGAAAAGTAGGTGTCCTTTCTTTGACGCACACAACTTTGACTTGTGAATCCACGCTTGCCTATTTTTGTTCTTTCTGTATTCAGGTTTGATGTCATTTTGTGTTTCTTGTATGATTTCGCTCAATGTGATTAATGGTCTTCAGACGTGCTTTATTATTTTTCGACTGCGTCTGGATACACATCTTAGTTTTGATTCTTCGTTTGGTCATGACTACCCTTTACGTCTAGTAGTGATGATTTCGTCTACTTGTTCGTTAGGCTTTATCTGATGATTTTGCAAATCCATGTTGATGTTTAGCCAACTTTCGTCCTATTCTTGACTTAGTCTCCTATGATGCCTATTTTGGTCTTTCATCTGATCCCTCAAACTTTAGCTGATAGATTCGTTTTATCTTGTATTTGATTTGGGCCTGGATCAACCTTAGTCTTGATACTAGCTTTGCTATCGTTTGATGTTTTGTTCAATTCGATTATACTTGATCATACTTTATCCTTCATTTTTGCCTGAACTTATTGTTATCCATCTGAAACACTAATGCACATGTTAGGAATAACAATATGTATTATATTTGTCATTGTTCTTACCGGAAATCTGCTGTAGAGTTGATCCGCCAGGTAAGATCGGTGAGCCTCCTTAACTGGTACGCTTGATGCTCCAATATGGGGGTGATACCTGCAAAAGAGACTCCGATGCTAAAGTTAGTGTTTGTGGGAGTATGAATCTCGTATAAGTAATGCACGTACCTTGGTGTGAATTAGGGTTGCTTTGGGCCTTGGGCCTGAGATAAGATATGATAAGATTAGATAGTAGATCTCGTCTGAAGCGAGATCCTTCGAGATCAGTTATGATCTGCTTAAATGCCGAGCTGACGTCGCGTAGCGCGTGCCCGACCTCATCTTGTGCTGTGATGCCGAGCTCAGAGCTCGGCTTTACAGTACGGACAGTACACTAGCCCCCTAAGCTCCGAAGACCGTAGGTCGAGGAGTTAAGACCGAGCTCGCCGGGGGGAAGTGACCTTTCGCGTACGTCTGCCTGTTGAGATGCCATGTGTTGTAACTGTTCATTTTCCGAAAACGTGCAAGTGGCGCGTTAAGGGAAATGACGGTTATGCAATGATGGTTTTGCAATTAATGTGTTGTCAGTGTCCCCTTAGGTTGACACGTGGCATGGTCGTTTCGAAACTTGGGGAGAAATGATGGAATAACACTAAGGCCGAGAAGACCAAGAGGTGATATACTAAAGGAGGCAAGAGGAATGGGATAGTGAGGCCATTTTTGGACCTTAGCTCCTAAGTTTTTTTTAGCATTTATTTTATTTTCTATTTTACCCTTGTATTTTGGGGTATTTTAGTCATAGGATTTATTTTCTTTTGTATTTCCTATTTTACCCTTGTATTATGGGGTGCTTTAGATGATTAGGGTTTTTAATTTTGGGCTAGGGTTTAACATTAGGAGGTGACGCATTTTTGGTGACCTTGGACCTATTTTTGGTGTTAGAAAGGCTTAGGCCCAAGTGGAGGGCAAAGGTTGCATGGTCTTATCATGCACCTAGATATAGCCAATCTAAACCCATAGATTCCATCCTTGGCCACCAAGTTGCATCTAGGGTTCATTTGCATTTCATTTGGAATGCATTTGCCTACTCCAAATGCAACCCTAGATGCCTCCCCTCCTATAAATACCCAACACCCCACCACTTGTAAATACTTTGGATTATATGAATTTGAGAGAGCATTTTTTTGCCTCAAATCCTATCCTTAGTCCCTAGGTTAGTTTCGGCTAAGCACCTTCATTCTCCACCCTTGGAGAGTGAAACCCTAGAGTGGCCTCCACCTACACTTGGAGTGAGCCAACTTGAGCAACCATACACCACCACCCTAAAACACTTTCGCCACCCTAAACATACTTCACGCCTATCTTCCTTTTCCTATCATAAGTCACCTTTTGTCTACCCTTTGGTGAGCCTAGATCAAGGGCAAGGTCTTCCCCTTCATACTCTACATCAACCATGGAAGGAGGAAGCCATCAAGAAACCCCTTTTCTCTTTCTCTCCCGCGTCTCTCCTCATTCACTCTGCTTTCTTCCACTCTTTGGCTTCTTGGGTACGATAGTCCTCTTTGCCTTCTCGTTCCCGTTCGCTTTTCGTCTCCCTTTTCACAGTTCCTCTTCAAGTTCTATTACTCCTCTTGATGGCTGGTGGTCGTGGCGCCAGTTCTTCTGCACCTGCCAGGGGCAAAGCGCGCGGTAAGGCGGTGGCTACCGGGAAGGGCGCCGCCGAGAGGAAAGACACGCCTCCGCCCAAGGACCTGGAGTCGGGCGTTCCTGGCTATGACTGGGTGAAGCGCGAAATGGGGGGGTCCAAAGCGTGTTCAGATCGCCTCTAGAGGTCGATGCGGTTTGGAAGACGCACCGGATTTGTGACCCTTCCGTTTCCCGGATGATTCGACTCGAGCCCTGTTCGGCCAGTGAGGGTGTGTATATGGGGAGGTCTACGGACCCTCCTCATTTCTATGTCTATTAGTGTTTCTTCAGGGACCTGGGCGTTTGTCTTCCTTTCACTCAGTTTGAGTTTGATTTCTTGAACTACATCAACACGACACCTTGCCAGCTACACCCCAATAGCTGGGGTTTTTTGAGGGCATTTCAAGTCCTGTGTGCGGTCCTAGGGATAGAGTTGTCCCTCTGTGTTTTCCTTCACTTTTATCAGTTGAAGCTGGGTGTTCCGCCTTATGGCATTCTTTCTTTGAACGGGAGTAAAGAGGGGGGTTTATTCACTCCTTACTCCCAGTCTTATAAAAATTTCAAAACCGAGTTCTTTCGGGTTGCCCTCGTGGACGTTGACCCTCTAGAGGATGGGGGCTTCTACTTCGGTGGATTGTCAAAGTTCCCTTTCTACTGGTATCCCAAACCGTCTAGGTTCCACGGGGTGGATCCTTCGCAATTGACGGCCTCGGAGGCTGCCGCCATTGGGAATCTTTCGGCACTTCCTCGCCCGTTGGACTGCAAGTCGATCTTGTCGCTGGCGAACTCGGCGCATAGGGAGAGGGGCCTCGAGGGTGAGTATCTTATGTTTTGGTAGCTTGTTGAG